GTTAGAATCATGTATTCTGTAAAAACAAATCAGGAAATATCAATTTAAATTAAGTAAGTTACACATGTTTTACTTGTGAAGATGAAACATGGGGAATGTGAAATGTGAGAAGATGATTATTACATGTGATAATTAAAGCAGCACATACTACATTCCCTCCTCCAACCCCACCCTCTCTTCAAAACTGCAAATTAGCTCATCATACCATGCACCTTTCATGTATTCTGCTTGTGATCTGCAACAGTTGTTATAGCACTTACACACACACCTGTGGAGACCAAGGATCAATAGAAACCATTGGAACAATTTAGAACAGTTTAGACCAAAGTTGCTGCATTTTAATGAACTATTGTATGAATGAATCAATCAATGAATCATTTGAATCAATGCACCAATACCTCAGTCACTACACTCTACAGTAAAATCCTGTGAAATGCTTTGAGACATTGCAGAGATGTGATAAGGTGCTATATCAAATGTAAGGATTACTCTTATACATTTCAAGACTCTTCACAATAATTTGACAAGTGTAGTGACTGATTTTTATAGCCAACCGCAGGTACTTTCAACATGTTGGATCTTCATAATCCTGGTAATATAATCCTAGCATTTGATATAGCACCTTATCACAACATCTTAAAGCATTTCACAGGATTTTTACTGTGTAGTATAGTGACTGTATTTATAGGCAAATGCTGCAGTCAATTTTCTGCATAGCGACTTCCTACAACAGCCATGAAGAGAATGATCAATTTTATCTGGAGGATTTTTGGCCAAGACACTGGGAGAAACTCTCTTGTACTTTCAAAAACTGACATTGGATCTTTAACATCCACTTGAACAGGCAGACAGGTCCTCAGTTTAACGCTACAAACAAAGTACAGTACATACAATACAAAATTACATTTGTATAGCACCTTTCACATCGGAAGGACATTCCAAGGCGCTGGACAGTCAGGGATTTGACTGTCTGACAATGTAACACTCCTCCAGCACTGCATGTGAGTGTCAGTCTAAAATTGGAATAATTTGATGAGTAGAAATATTCACACAAACTTTTATTGAAAAGTTGCATAGACCAGTCAATAAGTTAGTTAATGTATTGATTGATTTTGGCACAGCAGCATAATGGTCCTCAAAGGGTTAAGTAATGCACATATATTTAAAAAATTGGTAACCATGAAATCACCAACAATTACAATAGCAAACTTGGAATATCATGCCTCAGAATCTCTCACACATTTCCTTTCTGGAATAACTTTTGTTACAATGCCAAGTTCTCAAGGACACAATGTACCAGTGTACTCCTATTAAAGGTATAACTGTAGCCAATCGCTTATACACTCATTGGCTGTACACATTCAAGTAGAACAAACACAAAGTAATACACAGCACAAACATTTCAAAACATTCTTTTCAATAGTTCAATAATGAGACCATTTATTTGGAGATATAGTAGCATGTCTTGCATTTTAAAGACATAAAAGACTTCGCTGAAATCACGTTTACCAGGGCAAAGCACAGAAGCAAATCGTACCCCACACTTGGAATATATTAGAAATAGCAAAGACTCAGCAACATATCTGAAGTGATTCTCAACTGCCCTATTCAATATCCTGACTCCATTCCTGACACTAGCAATGTTTGCTATTGTGAAATATGGGCTTGAAATGCAGAACAATATATTTTAAACAGAACAGTATACATCAATAAACACTAAACAGAAAAGAGGATCTTGACAAGGGATGAAGAGGGAACTAATTTGGCTTTTAAAAAGATACAGTTAATAGAAGTTAAGACCATTGTGATATAGATGATCATGATTATTAAAACATGGCTACTCACTTCATTCCTATTGCTGTGCACAATTGACTGGTGTTCAAGTACAAATGTACAATCACTGCACTTTACACAAAAACTCAATAAAGCACTTCCAGATGTTTCAATGTGATTAGGCATTATATCAAATACAGTGAATATTACCCTAGAGCTTATTCTACGCTAAATATTGAATAATGTAATAATTCTTAAACTGTGTGTCAGTGCAGGTAACTGAAAATATTTGCTTTTCATTGCCTCTGTATTCTTAGCATAGAATCTGTATTATATCTTTACTTTTTCATCCTATCTGAACACGGTATAATGTATGTGATGTAATTTGTCCTTCCTATACTCTTCAATTATCAGTAACTGTATAGACACTGGACTTCCCCAGTAAACAAGGCTTTTATTATGCACATTTACTTTGCTCAGATTCACACGCACAATTAAGTCACACTTCCTAGCAACCTACAGAGCACAAAATTAATATTTGGTGAATACTATTTGAATGGATTAAGAACCAAAATATTTGCATAATTTCATATGTAAACATTACAAACAGGCATATATATGTTCTTTTCAGTTCTCACATAAAATTATGTATTTGATTCTGATGTTTATGGGAAAAATCCATCATCTAGCAAACTCTTGAATGAAAACCATCAATTACTTCACCAAAACATAAAATATTCATTTATTACTCTGACACTTATTAGTACAATGTAAGGATTATTTATTATTATCTCAATAGGCTGTTGGACATCCTTCCGACGCGAAAGGCACTATTCTAATGTAATTTGTTGTTGTTGTTAATTATGCCAATCCAATAATTAATATCATTATTTAAAAGTACTGACAGCCTCAGTGCTGCAATAAAACTGCAATTGTTATCCTCTTTTTTGATATTCAAGGTGATTGTTTTGGATAGCGTTTGGATTGTCAAAACTTTTCAAATCCATGTTTTAAATTACAGCATTCACTTTATCTAAATACCCATTTCTGTTTCTTGACTCTTCATTGTATTCTGATCGGATCATCCATTCCATTCTCTGTTGAGTCTGGGTGAATACATTCATAAGTCTGTCAAGCTTTACCCAGATATCAGTGAATATCAGTGAATACTGCTGTTTACTTCAGTAAAATTTAAATAGAAAGCCTTCATCTCATGTAATTATGTTGCTCTGTTGTAGCAACTGTAGAAATTTAATTTATTTTAAATTTAATACAGAAATACTGTTAATTGTGAATACTCATGAGAGAAAGGTTTTTTGTGTTACCATAACATTTGCCATTAGAGAATTCCAAAAGTAAAGTAGCTGTAAATATATACATATTGAAGAGTTTTCAATTCCTATAAGAATTAATGGACGGAATGGCCTTCTTCTATGCTATAAATTTATATGGTTCTAATGCAGCAATATAGATAAAATGGTCATGTCAGCTTACAATGTATTCTGCTTCTGGAATGCCTGTCAGCATTGCATAAATTAAGACATTTGTACCATTTGAAAACAACAACAAGATTACATTTGTATAGCGCCTTTCACGTCGGGATGACGTCCCAAGGTGCTGAAAAAGTGGCATAATTTGTGTGAATAAACTGAATTCTGCAATATTAAAATATTGCTGTTAACATAAATAGCAAGATAACAACATAATATGCAATGCACACACAGCACTGAATATTATAGTGATTGCACTGGGTCCAAACCTAATATAAGAGGCCATAATAATATAAGCGTGTTTCTCACGCACTTGCTAATTTCTACTCAGGTATAGATCTATGATCCAGAAGGCCATCTTGGAAAACATGCTCTTTCTGGATAGTGTTCAACTCGAATGGCATTTGTGTCTACTTACACATGGGCATTGATTTTACTGCTATGTGAAAACATCAACATTTAGCAATTTTGAATGCAAATAGACATCGCATAAAATTGGGAGGTAAAGAATTCCTTTCAAATTTAACCAGACATGAAAATTTACAGAGGAACCAGCTGTGAACTTTTCCAAGATCAATTAGGATTATTATTTTAAAAAGCATACCTTATGGATTTTGGAATGAAAACCTAGTGCAATAGCACATGCAGTGTTGCAAATGACAGGAGAGAGACCCCATTCAAAATTTTGTCTGCCCACACATTTGCTTGGGACTTGAGAAGCTACATACCATATACGAGATTGAACTCATTTACATGTAAAGTACAGCCATAAAATGAAGGATAAAAATTTGCACTGATCTGTGTGATTGCACTTGGGAGACAGATTTGATAACTCGCTCACTTATCTCAACTGCCAATATATGACAAGTCCCCAGGAAGAGCTTCCAACCAGGTAGAACTTTCTTCCCCTCCTGTCTGCAGTCGCAATATTCAGTGTAACGTTGTCTAAAGATAAATATTTATCCGATCTGTCTAAATGTGGAAACACAGCAACCGTTGGCGGCTATTGATCCCCAGGCATCACTTTGCTTTTACACTACCTGGTTGGCTTAAGTTACCTGACCTGACGGCCAACCTGAAGTGAGTGATCGACAGTAAAATCAGCATCACCTTCATAACAGGACATGGTGTTTAGAGTTAAATTGAAACCCGACGCAAATATACCTATGTAGATAGATATTGTGGCAAAACTCCAGCCGTAAAGTGTTCTGCTCGATATAAAAAGCTCCTTCGTGTTGAGTTACTGGGTGTGTTGCACTCTTGAGTGTTTTTTTATGTCAATCATTAACTTTTATAGTGACCACCTCACTGCGTTTCACTGAAACCTCCAAATAAAAAAAGGGGGCCGTCTGCAAACATCAAACAATAAAGCTCTGACTTTTACCCCACAAGAAAAAACACTTTTTTTTAAAACATTTTAAAATAAAATCCAGCTCCTTTTCGATCTTGACTATAAACAGTTGTTGGGGTCGGAAGTCCAACGTGGGTTTGTGTTCTTCAACTTGCACAACAGTCACAGACAAACATGTCTCTTAAGAAGTATATGTCAGTTCTGAAGCAATAACATTACTTTCAAGGCTGTTTCTGAGTCAGAACCGGGTTTTCTTCATATTTCTAAAGCCACGCAGTGCATCAACCTCAACTGCTGCAGTTCACACACCTGAACAGGGGAATGAAGGAAATGGAGGAGAACTTTATAGCCCTGGGTAAAAAAATAACTAAAAGCAGAAAGGATCTGCATTACGACAAATAAATATTTAATGCATAATTCATGAAATATTCAAGGTATTATAAATTGACACTTTAATTTCAGCTCATCGCTATTTAAATTAAGGGGCTGCAAAACAAAACAATCTCCAGTTTAAGAGTCTTGTTGACAAATCCTAGGAAACGTGAAAAACTTTTCTTTTGTTTTTTTTGAAAAAAAAGGCGAGTGGATTGTATTGTTTTGTGTTTTGTTTTGTTTCTGGGTTACTTCTCTTCGTGTGACTTCCCGTGAGTGTTGTCTTCAAAAAACTTGGGGCTGTCGGGTAGAGCAGCCCGGACCCTGCGCTTCTCTTTGAAGCGCCCTGAGCGGGAAATGTTGAGGTTCCTGCGGGTGGATTTCTCGTTAAAGAGTTTGGAGTCTGGATACTCCTTGTCCTCGATCAGGTTGGGGGGTTTGTTTTCCTGGGCCCCCGTTTTGTCTGTGGCCGATTGCACATGCTCTGCCCCTGCCCCGATCTCCGCCAACTCCTTCGGCTTCTTCTTCACCGTGAAGGATTTCCACCAGTTGGTCTTTCCACCACCGTCAGCCATTCTCTCCCTCCCACCTCAGTCCGACTGCAACAGTACAAAGCATAGGGTTACACAAGCCAAGTGTGTGTGACAGAGAGAAATAATGTATATACAGTGACATACATTAAACAAGACAAGAATATTGAGTGTCTGTATATACAGTGACATATATTACAATAAGAATAATGTTCATCTGTATATACAGTGACATACATTAAACAAGACAAAAATAATGTTCATCTGTATATACAGTGGCATACATTACAATAAGACAAGAATAATGAGTGTCTGTATTAGTGACATACATTACATAAGCCATCACTAGAGGTGAAATCAGTTTAAAAAAATTATGATAGGTATAAAAATCCATCACGAATTTTATGATCTGTGCTCCACATCATCAGTTCTGCACCCGGACTCTCTCACTCCCTCTTTCCCTCCCTCCCTCCCTCCATCACTCCCTCACTCTCTGTCTCTCTCACTCACTCCCTCACTCTCTGTCTCTCTCTCTCACTCACTCCCTCACTCTCTGTCTCTCTCACTTACTCCCTCACTCTCTGTCTCTCTCACTCACTCCCTCATTCTCTTTCACTCACTCTCTCACTCACTCTCTCACTCTCACTATCTCTCAGTCTCTCACCCTCTCAATCTCTCACTCTCTCTCACTCACCTGTTTGCTTCTCACAAGCCTTGGAGTCGCCTCTACCTCCTCAACAACTTATGTATCAAATCCAGAGGTTTCTTTCCGGCGGCCGCTGTTAGTCCATGTTTGCGGGAAGTCCATGCAGTTGGTTTTCTCGTGTCCAAATGTGGGTGAAACAGGTCAGCAAGTCACCAGGAGGAGAGGAGCGGAGTGGGTTAGTGTGTGAGCCAGTGGCTGCTCTCCTCTCAGCTGCAACCTGCACAGGTAAGGCTGGCCCACCCCGCCCCCTGCCTGCCCCGCACCGCTCCCCATTGGCCCGCTTCAGCCTGACGTGCGCCCAGTGCAGCAGGGGCTCCACCCACCGCCTCAGGTGTGTGCTGCTGCCTGGAGCTGCAGGTGGAGGTAAATGTCACTTTACCAACGCCAGTTCAATCGTGCGCAAATATTCTGGGCGAGAAATACATCTTCCCCAAAAATTTCCAGTAAGTGGAAAGCAGCAGAACAAATCACAGCCTGCACTGGTCGGTTAGTGAGGTTAACAAACTCCCATCACCTAGCAATGACACAAGAAATAGGAAATCTCCGAGGCTGGAGCTCAGACTCATTCCACCTGACCAGTAACTCACGAATTATTGCCACCTGGGACTGCTCTGTTGTGTTAAGAAGCCCTGCTAGCTGTCAAAATCTCCTTTACCCTATATATTGGTATTATATTATGGCTTTAATTTATTGTGTCACAAGGACATGCCAGTTTATCAATCTCCTGCACAGGATCCGCTAAACAGCAACAACAAGATTACATTTGTATAGCGCCTTTCACGTCGGGAGGATGTCCCAAATAGTACAAGATGGATTTAAAAAACTTACATCCAGGTCATGGGTTCATTTGATCTTTATTACACTTCCAACAACAATAATGATCTTTACAGTGACTGCTTTAACAATGGCAATTAGTGAACAATATACAAAAAAAATTATATGTGTAAATATATATTTATCAAAGTCTATTCCGCATAAAAAGGACAGTAACAGGAAAAATCACAGCAAAGATAATAGTACATTGTTGGCTAATTAAAAAAAGGAGTAACACCATTGATACCATATACCTCCATATTTATGTCACTTATAAACTATAGACAAGTGTGTAGATGCTAAACAAATAAGATAAATGGTACAATTTTAAATGGGGTGCAGGAAAGGAGAGAACTGGGGGTTCACATACACAAATCTTTGAAAATGGCAGGACAAGCTGACAAAACTGTTAAAATAGCATATGGGATCCTTGGCTTTATAAATAGAGGATTAGAGTATAAGAGAAAGGAAGTTATGTTGAACATTTACAAATCACTGGTTAGGCCTCAGCTGGAGTATTGTGTCCAATTCTGGGCAACTCACTTTAGGACAGGTGTCAGGGTCTTGTAGAGAGTGAAGATTTACAAGAATGATACCAGAGATGAGGGACTACAAATATGTGGAGAGATTAGAGAGGCTGGGATTATTCTCTCTAGAGCAGAGAAGCTTGAGGGGAGATTTAATAGCTGTGTTCAAAATTGTGAGGGGATTTGATACAGTAGATAGGGAGAAACTGTTTCCTCTGGCGAGTGGGTCGGTAACCAGAGAAAACAGGTTTAAGATAATTGGCAAAAGAACTAGAGGGGTTACAAGGAGAATTTTTTTTTACCCAGAAAGTTTTTACGATTTGGATGGCACTGCCTGTGGAAGAAGATTGAATAATAGCTTTCAAAAGGTAGAAGCTTAACAAGGAAAAAATTACAGGGCTATACGGTAAGAGTGGGCGAGTGAGCCTAGTTGGTAGCTCTTTCAAAGAGCCAGCACAGGCACGATGGGATTCTTCTTATTATTATTCATCAGATGCTGGGGGATATTCAAGGTGACTCAACAGCTCCAGCATTTGGCAGATTAGGCCACAGCAAGGGATCATGATGTATCTGGTAGCGCAACTGGAATCATGATATAACAATGTTAACCAAGTGCCTCCAAACATTTTGAAGAAAAGCCTTAACCTGTGCATTAGTGCCAACTATTCTTTCCATTTGCCTTCACCAAATTGTCACTGCTTCCACAAATGTGATTTTGTTGTTTGTTGGTTTTTAGGCATTTAGATTAGGTGCGTTTTGTCGAAAGAGACTATTTGTTCTGGTCATTTCTGGATGGATGGAATCCTGCACATGCTTTCTCAAACATGAAATTTAATCAAGCAGTTCTTCAAAATGGCTTTTTTCAGAAGTTGGTACTTTGAACAAAGATTCAAGATATTTATTTCCCCTTCTCTAAACCCCCCCACAATGTCTAGCAATTTGGAACTCCATCCCACATTCCCTTTGCCTCACTCCTTCCCTTGCCTCCTTCATGGCACATCCTCTTCAACCATATCTTCAGCCATCCTCCCTGATCACAACCCCCCTGCTCTGGGCCAAATCTCTGACTGTCCTCCTGACGCGAAAAGGTGCTATACAAATGTAATTTTGTATAGTATTTTAATTTGTGAAGCAGTTAAAAAAAATCCTTGCCTTTGATATACAGTAGTGCCCTATCGTGTAATTTCAAAATGTTTCACAAGATTTCCCTGTAAAATAAAAAAGTCTACTGTGTATGTATCAGTGAACCCAGCAGCTAATTTGCCCACAGTATTGTCCCACAAATTGCCAGAAGTGAACAACCTATTTTATCTTGGAAATTGTGGGCCAACACATTGGAACAAACTCCCTTTAATTTTCAAATAGCATTATTGGATTTCTAATGATTGCTTGAACAGGCACAACCTCAGTTCAATGTCTCATTGGTAGAACAGTACCTCCAACAGTGTAGCCCCTACCACGACCACTGCACTGAAATGTCAACCTAGACTATGAGTGCAAAGTCCCGATGTGGGGACTTGTACCCACAGCTTTCTGATTCAAAGGGGAGCGTGTTGCCGACTAAGTCAGACTGCCATTCTTATCCAAATAGGTCCACTACAGTTATTTTGATCTTACCTTTCAGTGATTTTCCACACCAGTAACTTTCTCTCTGGTTGGAATCAATCATGTATTAACCATTATTCATAATGGCTGGATTATGTGTCCATTATACAAAGTACACAGGGATCAAACTATACAGTATTCTAGTCAGGCTGTACCTTGAACACTGTGTACAATTCCGGTTGTCTTGACATAAGGGGCCTGCACAGTTTCCAGAGGCAGTACAGGGGAGAGCAACAAAATGATCCCTGTGTTACAGGAATGCTCTATGAGAAATGATTTGACAACGTAGGCTTCTTCACGAGATATCTCAGAGCTGTATAAAATTAATGGGATTGAAAAAGTAAACCCGGAACAATACGGAACACATCAAGACAGTGGAAAAGGATGACAAGTGGCAGTTTTAGGACAGACATCAAGAAATATTTCTTTATCTAATTAATTAATAAGTTGCACAGGTTACCAGGAAGGGTGATTGAGGATTGGATTCATTTAAAAACAGCTTGATGCAGTGATTGGAAGAAAGTAGGTTAGGTATTTTGAAAAGATGAGATCAAAAGGGTTGATGTGCCTTCTTCATCCAAACCAATCCTGTGAACAGATTTATAGAGGATTATTTCCTTACAGTTCTATTTGCTGTTGGCTGGGACCTAGATTTGTGACTATAACATACAAAGACTTACAAATTATTTCCAGAATAGAGACAGACTACACGTCCTTGTCAGTGTTTTTGCTCCACACGAGTCTTCACCCATTCTTTTCCTAAAACCTCTATTCCCTTCTCCCTCATGTGAAGGTTTAGCTTCCTCTTGAATGCATCTACATAATCTGATTCAACCACTGCTTCAGGCAGCGAGTTTCACAATCTCACTACCTTCTGGATGAAGTAGTTTATCCTAAATTTTCTTTTTGATCCCCTACTTGTTATCTTATATTTGTGTCCCCTGGTTTCTGACTCCCCAAACAGTGGAAACAGCCTATTTATGCTAAACTTAATAAACCGGTTTATAATTTTAAACACTTCTATTAAGTCCTCCCTTAAACGTTTCTACACTAGCAAAAAAATTCCTAACCTGTCCAGTCTATCCTGATACCAGTAACCTGCTGACTCTGGTATCATCTATTGGTAAACCTATGCCTAAGACCCCATTAGCCTTTTTATAACCTTAAGTGTAACTACTTTTAGAGATTTGTGGATCTGAATCCCCAGATTTCTTTGTTTGTTTACTCCTATTTGGTCCCTACTACTGTAGACATCCTCTTTATTTTTCCTGCCGAAGTGAATTACTTCGCATTTTCCTACACTGAACTTCATTTAGCATCTATCCACCCATTTTGCTGGTCTGTTTATGTCTTCCTGCATTTTTCTGCAATTCCCTTTCACTGTTTACCATGTCCCACATTTTGATGTCATCTTCAAATGTTGACATCACATTTCCTATACCTGAATCCAAATCATTTATGTATATGGTGAACAGTAACCATTCCAACATGGATCCCTATGGAACACCACTTCCTACTTCTTACCAGTCTGAGAAGATATCCTTAGCTCCTACCCTTGGCTTTCAGTTTCCTAATCCTTCCTTAATCCATTCTGTTATCTCTCCCATGATTCCACATGTTCCTATTTTTTGCATGACCCTCTCACACAGCATTTTATCAAAGACCTTTTAGAAATGCAGATGAACCACGTCGACTGAATTTCCTTC